TAATGTTTGGATTTTTTTGATTTTCATTTACAGCTTCAAGTGGAGTCAGTCAAAAGATCAGTCTCGTCACTGCATCCTGTCTGGTGCTGTTGTCATGGCTACTGTCAAGCCAGCAATAGCATCTGTGCTGATTTCCTTCTAGATTCCAATGAGAACATGAACTAGATTTTTTTCATGTATTGCTATATTTAACTTTGTTATGTATTGATGTTGTCTTATCTAGACCTTTCTATAATCTCCAAATTGTCATTTAAAATGAATGTTTAAGTTTGTATCTTTAAAAAAATGAAGGAACACATGCATGTCAACTGCATATATTCTGTCAAAGGCCATGGTGCATATCATGAATACTGAGTCAATACATATGATGCATAGTTGTGTTTTTTGAGAGTTCTTAATGTTAGAAGTTAAGAAATTTAAAATGATCAGAATACAAAATGTTTAAATTTTAAATTCAACGTGTTTATTGAGTGATGGTTTGTAATGTTGTTGGGTAAGAAGAAATTGGATTATGTGTCAGAGTCATAAGCATTAATGAAAGAATTACTGAGGTTTACAGAAAATCAAACCCTGCATTTTCTTTTCTCATTTTCTTTTCTCACTTGGTAATGACACAGCATAAAGCAAGAATGAGTCCTTGCGCCAACAAACCACGGATTGTTATGCAGCACCAAACTTTTGCCTTGAACAATCGACAGGGGTGAGAGTGCCATCTCAATTCTTTAAATTCTGCACTAGTTGGTTTTATTCCTATATCTTTTACAAAAAAACCTGCTCAGGGTAATCATACTTCCTCTACAACTCACATTGCCGGTGGTGTACTGCAAGGTTCAATTTTAGGTCCAGTTTTATTCTCCATCTACATGTTTTCACTAGATCATATAATCCATCACCACAATGTATCTTTTGCCTGATGGGCTGATGACACACAGACAGACGTTCCCCTGAGACGTGAGGACCCAAAAAGCCTTGCTGCCGCTTTAGATGGTCTCAGTTATAAATGATCGCTCATAACTCCCATCATATTCATGTAAAAAACTCTGGGGGAGTGATAAAGTTGGAGCCTGGAAGCTAAACACCAACATGTTGTACTGTTACGATATACAATTGAATGTGAGTTGTCTGAATGAACTGTATTTATTTGTGGTATTATATTTGTTTGGAGATGTACTCAAGATTAAATGTTACTGACATCATTACTATGATTGTTGTTGTTTTTATTAGTAGTAGTAGTGTTTTATTAATAACAATGGGTATTTTTCTCTATCTGTTCCAAGGCCAATCAATTATTTGGCAACTTAATGAATCAATCAACTAACCAATGCAATTAACCATTTCCCTGAACACTTGTTTATGTTTCACCGGTCGCTCGATGACCTCGATAGACAGACTCGCAAACCGGAAGAGGAAAACACATGGATTAGTGTGTTTACAACTCTCGTTATCCTGCGCGCACCCGGCATCATCCTGCCACCCAACGCGGACCGAACCTATTTGCATTTGTCCGGCGCTGTTGTCTCGACTCTGCGGACCTCGTTATTGTATTATGATCATATCACGGGCTTGTGTTCGATGCTTTGCCGAGGACTAGAGGTTGTTATTGCGGGCTGCAGCTGCTGGGGGGGGGTCTGTCGCAGCGTCGGGCCACCCACCATCCGCGGAAGTGGGACAGGGGAACAGATGGCGCGTCCAAGCCGGGCTGCAGGGCTGCTGAAGCTGAGGATCAGTCAGTAAAATAACAGCCTGTCTTTGCCTGTTTTCTATTCGCTGCTTCTTTCGCGAACTTGACGATGAAACAGTGACCTGGGTGAGAGCGGGAAAGCATCGCGGATTCGTCGCTATTCATCGATGCGCGCAGAGGGCGCGACTCGCTGGCATCGACCTAATCTCTTGTGACGCGCCCCTGGCCCGGTGAACAATGGTTGACAACCGCTACGCCACGGCCCTGGTCATCGCCTGCGTGCTGAGCGCGCTGGCCACCGTGTACGTATCGGTGGCCATCGGGACGCAGCACTGGTACCAGTACAGCAGCCCTACCGTGCGCGGAGAGGCCAACGTGTCGGAGCTGCGCTCCCTGTACGAGGAGTTCATGGACGGGGAGTTTGATGAGAAAACTTACAGCGACACCCTGTTCCGCCTCAACGGCACCGTGGGCCTCTGGTGGCGGTGCGTGCTCGTCCCTGCCAACGCTCTTTGGCACAAGGAGCCAGGTACGTCTCTCACCTCGCATGACACCGCGCCATCCATTCCGCAAGCAGGGGCGGCATCGCTCCCAAGCTTTGCAGGTGCACCAGCTCGTTCGTTAATAACAGCAGGTGTGGCTCATCCTCCAACAGGTTTAACAGATAATTCATCATCCTTGGAGTGCAGGGGATTTCCGCTGTGATCATTTGAGTCTGAACCCAGTCACACCCAAGTATCTGTGGAACAAAAACACATAATGAAGTAAAATGTGCACAGATGTGGAAGGAAACCCGCACAGCAGAACTGTTTAGGTCCAGGTTCGGCCCACATAGGCGGTCCACTCCTGTTTGCCATATCTGAGCCACATGTAAACCATAGCAATACCATGTGCAAACCAAAGGTGCCAAAGGTGGCCTGAATAAGTTTTGTGCCGGGCCATATTCACCATTTACCACATGGGCAATTTTAGGTTCACATCAAGATTACACCTTGGCTAGAGCACCACATGTTTGCCAAAAAGGGAACACATTTGTATTGGGATATTTGGGCCAGTTTAGTTTTTTAGCTTTATGTTTCCATTATGTTTGGGTGACAAAAGGTGCAGCATCATGGATTGCCCCACATCCGTATGCCATCTGGGAAGATGGCTGAATTTCTAATCTTTGTTCACAGTGGTGAAGAAAAGAAGTAACTGGATGAGCCTCAGTTGACTTACATATATGAGTTCATTACAACATGGATCTGTAGTATACAGAGAAGATTCTTTGTCTAATTTACAGACTGACAGTCAAACCAAAAAACTTGAATAGAGGCTTTTCAGATTCAAACCAAATAATTCAGGCATGATAAGTGTGGCGGCCATAAAGGGGCCCCAATTCACACACAGGAGCCAGGTGCATGTCCGACATTCATGCACAATTCCTGATTCAGTAAGGTGTACATGGAAGTCATTCCTTGTTCACAGTTAGCGCCGAAGCTTTGAGCAAAGCCACACATCATTTAATATATTTTGCAAATTGGACATTGTCTTCTTCAAAAAAAGCTCAGATAAATAAAGCTTCTTAACACGTTGTCATATGTATTGTCCATGAGGGACTAGTTCATTTTTAAAAAACAATACTGACAGCACATGACATGAAACATAAGCGTTTTTACATGTACTTCATCATGCAACATGTAGTAAACTGTCTGATACATGCTCAGATTTTGCTTATTTAAGTGAACAACCTCTTACAGATGCCAAAATGGTGCTGGAGTGTCGAAGCTTCACTCTGCCTCAGCAGTTCACTCCCAAGTACAAAGAACCAGGAAATCACAACAGTGGAGAGGACATGCTGCGCACATGTAAGTTCTGTCACAACAGGTTTACCCATATTCAAGTGGTGGTTTACAAGTTGTAAAAACACTTCACCTACTCCTCCATCGGCAAAGTGGTGAGCAGATAATGAGTGATTTTTCCTTTTTTGGGTTAACTATCCCTTTAATTAGGTCCGATATGTGATGCTGAATAATGCACTGCAACACCAATTGGGTCACTGTCGTCAAGGTGAATAACTGGCGTTACTGTGAAGCCTACTGACTGGTTTCTTCCCGTGTCTGCGTGTTTAGACCTGTGGAGGTGTCAGTTTCTGTTGCCACTGGTGTCCCTGGGCCTGGTGGTGTTGGCAGGCCTGACTGGATTCTGTGCCTGCCTCTGCAGAAGCCTCACCCCAACCCTTGGCATCGGAGTACTTCACCTGCTGGCTGGTAAGACCTGTTTGGTAATTTCTTCCTCTCTGTCGGCCTTTCTCTATGTGCAGCCAAAGACTAAAATTAATTAAGCAAACAAGAAGCAGTTCAAACGTTTCACGTTCAAGTGTCACACGAGTCCATCGGCAACATAAAAGCATGTTCACTGCTAAATTTAGTCCACAACCAAATTGCATTAGTTTTATTTGAAGTAATCCGATCATGTATTGACATGAAGAAAATTTAAACTGTTGGAAGAAGGTAACTTATTCCCAAATATTCTAATTTATTCCTGTTAGGTTTTTAAGTCCATGTCCACATGCTGACATGCTTGCAATGATTTTGCTAATGATAATTCTTATGAGCAGGTATATTCAGGATTAGCATTATTTTTGCCTTGTGTTGGTGATGAAGCTAAATATTAGACGGATTTGAAAGTTGAACCTGATGATTGCACAAATTATCTGGATTCAGCATCTGGGAACAGTGAATGTCTTTGCTACGTTTTACAGTAAGTTACTTTATAAAATGACTAGTTTCAGTCTAGGCCAATGATGCGTGTGCTACCAATACTGCAATACCTGGACGGAAAAGAATAGCTGAGTCACGTGCCTTTAATTTCATAACCAGAAAAACAAGCATTTGAATGTTGAGCAACTTTACTGGAATTCTCACTCTTCCAACAACTTAATTTTGAGGTGTGGCAGACAGAAGTTAACAACTAGCTGGTTAGCACAACAGAGTTTTTAGGAAGTGGTTGAGACCAAGTTGGAGCTGTGTGCGAACATGTGCGACATGTAAATATTGTGTTTAGGCTACTTGTTGCATTTTTCCCAGTTGGTCAAATATCAGTTATTGCAGGTTTAATCTGCTTTAAAACAGCAATAATTACCATTCATGGACTAAAGCAATGCAACAATAGACAAAATCAGAGTGATACAATATAACACAAGAGAAAATCTGCTTTTCAACCATCAACAGCATTCGATCAATGTCCTAATAACTCTTAAGTCAGTAATTGTCCATTTCGGCTTGAGTCACGTCTGTGTCACTGCAAATCAGGGACATTTTGGACTTAGTGGTAAACTTTGTAACTTTTGGCAATTTTTATTGTAAGAAATAAACAGGTCTAAATCACAAAATGAATGATGGTTGTTTCAGTTTCCGGATCCTGATATTGTGCATGCTGGTGCACTTTCCCTCTCTCTCTTACTATTTATCTAACAGGATTTCTCAAAACGACTGATGTGGAAAAAAGTAAAATATATGAGCGTGTGAAATGTCGGCACAAAAATAAGTGTCTCAGTCTGCCCCCTCATGCTGTGCCCTACAGGTCTATGCACCTTAGCCACAGTGTGCTGCTACCTGGCAGGGATGGACCTGCTCCACAGGGTGTCTATGCTCCCCGACAAGGTGGACGGCTCGCTGGGCTGGTCCCTCTACTTGGCTCTCATCTCCTCGCCACTCCACATGATGGCCGCCGCGCTGCTGGTGTGGGCGGCACGCAGCCACAGTCAGAATTACTACCGCATGACTGCATACCGTGTTGCATAGACTGAGAGCTGTGTGTATTCATACCCCACTCTGACACCCAAGATGCATTTTATATGACAATCTCAGAGAAGCGGGATGTGGGTTAATCTGTGCACCTCTGATGGATTAACTACAGTAAAGACCCTATCTGCTGCATTAAAAGATTTGATTTTCATCTCTCGGGGAATTGGTTTAAAAAAGGTAAACCAGAAATGTATAGCGCAGCACATGCTTGGTTAAGAGTAACAAAAGAGAGTAGATAACTACACGTTCATTCAACATATATTGCATTCACATCAGAAAAGAGCTGGATCACAAGATAGCAGCATATCATGTCTACTATAGGAAGCCTGTCACTACCAGTTTAAAAACCAGTATGACATCAACAATTTGTAGAATTCAGTTGATTACACACAAATGAAAACATCACTAAGATTATTTTATATTCAGTTTCTGCCAATAGCTCCCTTTCACCAAAATCTCACACACTGAACCTTTAAATTACATTTAAATTTAAAAGGTTTAAATGTTACAAACTTTGGAAAAGCACAGCTCTTTAACAGGCAGGTGTGTCTCAGATGGCTGTCTGTCAACATGCATCCTGTATAAGTCCCTGGCATTAAAAGAAAAACATACTTTGTACTATATACAGTGCGGTACTGCGTTAGTGGTATGTGGTATGAGAGTGTGACACCTCAACTGTTTCACTGACCTCCACTGGTTGAAATGTGTTAAGACTTCTGCTCACACCCAGGATGAAAACTGGGTGGGGTGGCATTTCTGATAATGTGCAGATGTCCTGGTCGCACCCAGACTTCTGCATCACTGTGCCACGACAAACAATAGAAGATATTTCTTCTTACGTTCCGTAGTACGTCTTTTACCAACCTGGTGAGACACACAGTCTGGGAATGTGAACCTCAATGAGAGACTATCTTTATACTATTGTTGTATCTATGTTTCAGCTATTATGATTATTTAATTTACTAAGATTTAAGAAGTCCAAAGTCAGTCCTATTAAGATTGACTAGCGACTTAATTGATTTATTTACTTGTGGAATTGATTAAGGTCACATGGTGTTTTATGAATATTGTTTTCTTTTTGCTATTTTCAAGTATGATTTTAATGTTTTGACAGATTTTTGTGGCTTTTTGCATGAAAATCCCTCATGTACTCAACAGTAACAGTGCTACTTCCCCTCTTTGTGTTTTGTGTTTATTGAAATTGGTTTCCACATGTCTTTTGTGAATTTAGTTAGGGAATATTGTTATTTATTTGATTTATATTTGTTCCTTGATATTCACCATTATGGGAAAAAAAACTAAGCTCAGTAAATCAACAGGATCTAAGGGAAATAGTTCCCTGCGAGGCATTATGAATGTACTTTAAATGCCATATTATGATAAGCTACAATATTCCTTTGCAAATTATTTTTGAACATATCTGAATATTGCTGTATTGCTTGGTAGTGAATTTCTATTTTTTCACAATGTAAATGTCCCAAAAATCAATTGTATTTATAGAAACGTTGTTGTTACCTTTAAAATCAGTTTCCATTGATAAATACAGTAACAGCGCTCATAAGGTTTTATGGGATAAAGCCTGTGAAATGATGCACAATGTGTGTTCTCGTGTATTCAGCCTTTCAATACAAGATATTCCTAAATCCCTGAATCCACATTAGAGTAAATACTGTATAACAGCTGTATGACTGTGCTTTTGTGAATCTACAGTGAATGTGTCGTCCATCCTCCACCTGAATGTTGTTTGTGAGCGTATGCAAAAGTGTTCAAAAGCAACTGCTGTCGTTTCAATAAAAAGTTTTTTTGTAAAAATTTATTTCACAGTCACATCAGTGTCATTGTGTTGTAAAAAGCCCGTCCTCACTCCTCTTCCGACTCAAATCCCTGTTGGTTAGTTTTCTGCTCCGCCTCGGTCTGCACCCGGATGGCGGGGATCATCACGTGCCTCTTTCTCGCCAGGGAGAGAGCGATGCCCTTCTCGTAATAAGCACATTCGTTGACAAAGAAAGGAAAAAGAGGTTCGATGCCTTTGTATCTCAGTGTTTCACCTGAGAAAGTCTGGAACAGTGCATCTTCAGGGTGGAGCAGGCAGAAGTCTCGGTCCTGTGTGGGAGGGCAAATACTTAGATTTATGAGCTAATGTTGCTGTCAGCTGAGAATCCTGCACTTCTATGTGTGAGGGTTTTCAGCTGTTCAACAGCCAACAGTGGTTCCCAAGAGGCTTTGTGCTGTGGTTTTAGGAGCAGAGGTCACAAAAGTTGCTAAAAAGTTTTAAAAGGACTTTAGTTCAATAGTTTGGAGTTAAAAAGTGCTCTACAAGTTAAAAAGAGTAAAAACAGGATCAAATTAAACACATAAAAAAACATATCTTTAAGTCAGGATAAGGAGTTTGAAAGATGGATCTCCTCAGGGAGATTGTTTCAAAGAGTGACAAAAAAAGGCCCCATCACCAGTGGACCTCAGGTTACGACCGAGCACAGTGTCAAAAGATCTGAAATGTACTTAGGTGCAAGTCCAGGGCCTGAAAAGTCAACAATAAAATCTTATATTCACTGGAAGCCAATAAAGCCAATAAAATGAAAGTAATATGCTCTGTTTAATCACTTTGATGGGGAGTTTGGCTGCTGCGTCTTGGACGAGCTGTTCATTCCAATTCATGATTATAAGTTGTATTGGTTTATTTATGGAAAATAATGGTTTATATGTTTGCAACCTTTACTTCTGTGTAAAAATGAATTTAGTTTAGCTCAAAAAAAGGCAGAGACTGACCGATCAGACTTAATTTCACAAGGACCGTCATCTAGATCCTCCCGCGTTTTTTCTGTTGCTCTTCCAGTCCGAAAGAGGATTCTTCTGTAACCAGCTATTTTAGGTCAATATGTCGGTAAGGGCTGCAACATCCTCCTTGAATTACCATGAGTCACAGAAGCAATCGCTGCTTAACTGCTTTAATGTTCTTTGATTCTACCACAGATCTCAATCAGCACCTCTGAGACAGTTTCAACAGAGGCAGTTGTAAAAGTCACAATGCCAATTATTCATAAAGAGGCTGCTTGTCATGCTAGTCATCAACAATGCCAGCACGTCATTGTCAGGAACTTTACTGAACAACTGTACAACTCAATCCACCTGTTTCTATTTCTGTCATCTACGTGCACACACCTTGACACGTTTATTTATTCGTTTTTTTCCACTTCGTACCTGCACTGTCATCAGTACATTTCAACTTGAGACAACAGAAGACACACAAAACACTGTATTTGTCTGTGTCTTCTGCATCGTTTTCAGTTCAAATTTCCTCAATGTTCTGTAAAGAAAAGCTCAGTTTAAATCCCAGTAAACAGTTGTTTCCTGCTGTGCACTGAATCAAAGACTCAAGACTACACTCAGAGTCATTTGATTCATTGCATGTTCGATGCCATCACTGTGTTTTGTTCCCTCCGCCAAGCAGGCTGTGTTATCACCCTGGTCAGTTTGCAGGAAAGATTATAAACTACCAAACAGATTACAGCAACACTTGGTGGAAGGATGTGGTATGGGTCAGGATAGAATACATTATACTTTGGTTTCGATCCAGGAGGGTTTTTTTCCCACTTCCTTTAAATAATTCATGGATCTTGATGAAAGTACTCAGGCACATTAAGGGAACTGATATCTATGAGTGTGCAGCTTGACTGAATGTAAGGGGACTGGTTGTCTATGCTCTCAACTGACTGCCATTCCGGTCTTCACTGTTTTTAATATTATATCTTATTTGTTATATATTATTACATTAATCTCATGAAATTCTTCATAAAGGCCCGACCTGCGTGGTAGGAGTTGGAGTTTCTGGTTAAACAAATTCCTGCAAGTCAACACAGTAATTTATCGGCTATAAATAAGAGAAGATTACACACTTTACGTCATAATTGCTCTTTGGTATGAAGACGTCTTAGAGAAAGACACCTCCCCTTGTTGTTGCAACAAATTCTGTGAATACTAAGGGGAGGTCAAACAAGGAATACATTTCAACCCTGTGTTGTTCACAGCACCTTCTAAAAAAAACAAACTTTTCCTTGCAACAAAAGCCCCTTTTGTGTCCACGCTGTAATATAATTAAGGTATTACTTATCCACTCCCTTGTTAATTCAAACTTACACAATTAGGTGAAGTGGCTTTCAAATCTGACAAAGGCCCGTCTGTTTAAAAATCCTGCAGCTACAAAAGACTGTACCTGGAGTTGTGGATGAATGGCGGCTGTGATGTCGTGAGTCTGGCTGTCTCTTGGGTAGTCGATGTGTTTAACCATGGTGAACACGTCCACAAATCCTCCCTCAAAAATAGTACCTGAGAATAAAAGCAAAACAAGCCGATGATGTAGTCCAACAAGGGTTTAAAAGATGTGCAAAGTTTGCATTTGAAGTGAGATAACTCCATTGGTAACCTGTGTTTAAATGTACCTGAGTTGAAGGAGCGAACCCAATCGAGCATGTGCTGCACGCCATCTTTCATCGCCGTGTAGATGTTTGACCTCACCACGCCGTGGGGCTGAGGGCCGATCTCCATCGCTACAGAAAGTTTTAGACGGCAGACATTACAAATCATGGAGCTTCTCTGTGCTTCCAACAATCAGTTTGTAGTAAAAATGAAAATCTTACCAAAGCCGTGTTTTCCCACTGAATCGAGGGAATAGGATTCTTTTCTGGAGAGGTCGAAGTGGATGAACCTCATCGGTACATCTGGCATGTGCCTCTGAAAAAGACAAGTCAGACTTTTGATGTGACTGACTCTGGAAAGTTTCTCAAATATGCAGAGGAAATGGATTTGACTGTTGGTCTGTGGCTTGCCTGAAGGTGTCTGAATATGTGCAGGCAGATCCAGTCGCAGTCAGAATATGCGATGATGCACAGGCCCATGTTGGCGGTGGTGTTGTGGAGGTCACAAACAAGATCCACCGCCTCGGCACTGCCTTTGGGCCCCAGCAGCGTGTTCAGTTCTCGGGACCTGATCAACTCGTACGGGGCCATATCTGATACGGGACCGCTGGGAGACAGAAAAAAACCAAACAAGACAGCTCATCATCAGTCTCAACATCAGCATCATCACCACCTCTGGCTGCTGCCTTACTTGAGGGTGGCGTGGGTGAAGCAGCGGTTCAGGTCCGTGTCTACGTATCTGCGGCACTGCTGCGTGGCCCGTGGGTTCGACAGCACCATCAGCACAGACACTGGCTCCTCTTTCTCCTCCTCCTCTTTCTCCTTCATCACCTTCTTCTTCTCCTTCAGCAGCTCTCTCACCAAGTACACCCCGGACAGCTCATTGCCATGGGTACCACCACACACTGCGACTCGGGACAACCTCGGTAAACACACCACCTCGTCCACCTCCATCAGACTGAGAGCAGACACACATCACGGGGGGAAGAGGGCAAGAAATGTTAGAGACTTTTTGTCTGTATTCAGTATGCATCATTGCACAAAACTGCAAATCTGATTCCCTCTTGTTTCCCTCAGTGCGACGCATCGGCTACATCACTTCTGTTCTCACTGACACTGCAACATAAAGCAGAAATATTGATTTGTGAAACCTTACCTCGCTTTTCTGGCTCGTTGAACTGTAAAAAGAGCAGTTCCAGTATTTTTTTTTTTTTTTTTTAATGCACCGAAGAGGCACAGAGATAAAAGTGTATTCAAAGTCTCTTTAACTGAGGAGGAAAGCCTGAGGTAGAACTGTCAGCTCCACATTCACAGCTACGAGAGGAGATGCTGTCATACTGTACATCTTACCCTGCCGTTTACCCTCTTCCACCCTCCACCCGGCTTTCATGCAGTTTCACTGATTCAGCATTCCCATCCCTCCCACTGTACAGGCTTCAGCTGCCTGTTATGCAAACTCCCAGCGTCCCTCCACCACCTCTTGTCCACTGCACTGCACTACGCTGTATCAGGGTGTGTCCTGAGTGGGATGTGGTGCAGTCCATTGCATCCTTTGGTCCCCCACGGGCTGTGAGGTCAGCCGAGGCACAAGCCCCACCCCGACTCCCGATTCTCTCTGCCCCTTGTATAGGATGGTAGGTTCCAGTCTGCCTTTCAGAAAATGGGCTGAAAATAAATCTGCTGGCATGACACAGCAGGAGAGGCGCCTGCGATGGGAACAGTGGAACAAAGAGCTCTTCTCGTCAGGAAAATATCATGTGAAGCAGTCGGTGATTTAAACCCAGAGTCGAGTTTGACTGCTCAAGGAAAAATCTGCCTTTTAAAATAAATAAGTTAAACAGTGTTATTTTCCCCTATTTTATGGATTTTTTGAATTTACACTGGTTTTATTCATTTGGATATATTATTATTTATTATACTAAATTTTTGATGGCATCATATAATTGAATTCCTATTTTAATACATTCTGTCTTGTTTTAGGGATATTGATATTTTTTCATTTTGATAAAGAAGCTACACTGCCGTTATCAAAGTGAAAAGTGAGCCGTCTTTGCCGTTTCGCTCTATTCACTCCAATTAACTGAGGACCAGCAGCCAATTCAATATTACATTTATTGGAACTGGACAGGCTCTGCTAAGGCTCTGGAGAGGATCACTAAAAATGAATTGCTAAAAATAAACTTCTTGGACTTTTCTAAAGGATAAACAGTCTTTCAAAATGTTGCAAACATATTTTTAGAGTTTAATTTCTGTCCTGCAATTTCTTGTTATCAACATACAGTTCTGCAGCAGCTGTAATATACGTGCACTAACATAATAATCCTCATATTAAATGGCCCAGCCCCAGATTTACTGGTATAGTTCTATTTTATCTCATGCTGCTTCTTTTGGGTTCAAACGTTCCCTTGGAATAAAATAATTTTGTAAACACGCGAAACATTTGAATGCTAAGTTTGACATTTTTCAATGAGGTGTGGCATTTTAAAGATTTTCCTAAACTACAATATGACATCATAAAACCAGCTGGAATACAAACTAGTGGGACATATTACCTTCTGTTGAATTGAATACAAATGTTGGAGCATCTTTACATGAAGAACAGTATAAAAAGCTATTTGTTTGACATCACAGCATTTGTTTATTACAGATCATTTTTCTTTGTTAATACAAAATACTGAACAATGTCATGTCTCCCCTCTCGATGGAAACTCCCTTTTTTTCTGAAAGTGAAGACAGTCCTCTTCCAATATGTGAGGAAACAAAAATACAAGAAAAACTAATTTACAGTTATCAATACTATAATATGAAATTCTATACATTTATAAAATCATAGTTATTTGCATTTCTTTTAAATTCTTTGTTTATTTATTCTTCATATTTAAGTACACTTACAAACAAAATTATGAAATGCACACACACATTATATCTCACGTTTTTGGTGTCAAAATGTACTTGCATATGTATGGATTCTTCTGCAGATAAATGGTGTGACATTTGTTTTCACCGCTGCATTTACTTTTAATTTGTTGTCTTTGCTCATTTGTTTGATACCATCACAAGAAATAAACCACAGCAAGTATTTAACACTTCTTAAAACAATTTATACTGCCATGTAACCAAGTAACCTCTCACCTTGTTAGCAAAAAAACATTATTCCAACGCTGTGAAAACGGATTATTCCATCAACTGTTCTTTGACAAAACTGCACTATATGAGATTTCCTCAGCACCGGAAAAAAATTAACTTCACCACCTCAAAAGCAGCTTCACGTATTTCTTTCCTTAAGTACACCTTCAAAGTTTAAATTGTACAAGAAACCAGCGATAAATGGCAGGATTGTATCCACTCATTTGTGATGTAAATGCAAGTGAGAGCAGGCTACTTGTTTCTAAGGCGAAGAGAACGAGTGCTTAGGCCTTGTTGTAATTTTCACCTTTAAGCCTTGGTAAAAAAAAAAACAAAAAAAAAAACAATAAAACATGACAGTGTAGAGGGTCAACCAGCATTCTGGCCAATCATTTCATTTTTTTTACTGCACAGTGGCAGGGATGTAAAGTGATGGAAGAACAGATATGCAGTCATACACACAAGCACACTAGAACCTTCACTTCATTACATTAAGACACTAAATTAGAGAGAGAAACAAGAAATCCTCACTAACATCTTGAAGGCCACCAGTTGACATTTTACTTAAATGATCTTAATCATATTTATTTATAAATCTATATATTAACCAGGTCTTAGCCCCACTTTTAGAGTTATTACCAAAGCACACGTTTGCTGTGGATGACAATAGGTACACTACAATATCGCACAAGGTGTTTTCAGCACAAAAACTTCTGCTCCTGATCTGAGAGACTGAAAAGACTTGAGCAGAGAGACTACAAGGAGGATCTACTCTAGATTTGGAAGCACTGCCTGTTTCATTTCCTCCCCTTTATGCCCAGCCTGACCCGAGTCCAAGCAGCACAGAGACTTTCATTCCAGCCTGCTCAGATGTGTGACAGCAACAAAGGGGGTCGATGCAAAGACTCAAGGAGGGAAAACCCTGCTCCCTCCGGATCAGACAGCAGTGACCGTCCTGGAGATCTCTTAGAACAGAGAGCCGCTGGAGGGAAGCAGCCGTCCGAGTAGGGGGCAAGCAGGCCTTTGTGGTCGGCGTCCACCAGGCAGCTTTGATGGACCAGTCTCTTCAGGGCACTTTGCAGTCAACACCGCGGTCAAAATATGTCTGGGCATCCCTCCCAGCTGCCTCCGTCCTTAGCTTCCCAGTAGCCTCCCTTATAGAGATGGATTTGCTCACCTGTGATCTGGTCCTCACAGCTCTCAAACCAAAGTGCCTGGTAGTTGTCATGAGGTGCGCCTGAAAGAGACAAGAGATTGTCAAACAATTGCCAAAAATGCTGAGAGCAAACAATCTATAGCGATGATTAGAGCAGAAACTCAAGTGTGAAGATGTGACAGTGAGAGAGACAAAAAGAGGAATACTTGCTTTTTAAGGAGGGATCAGTAAGAGAATCCTCATCGACAGCTTTTGAAACAAAAAGGGGATCACAGACATTTTTTTACCCCTTTGTTCCAAGATTTTTTCCCCATACAAGGTAGAGAAGAATACAGAAGAGAAAAAGCATTAATACATACTTGACTCACCTTCATCTGATTGGCTGGAGGTGCGTTGGCTGGCGGCCTCCCTCTCTCTTTCACGCCGGACACTGCGCTGCTTCTCCTCCAGCCGCTGCTTCTCTGCGTTGGCCTCGTCCCAGCGACCTTCCTCCATCAGGCGCTGGTCAGGCCGGCGACGGCTGTCGGTGGGTGCCATGCCCTCCTCGGGCTCATTTAGGGTCAGAGCCAAGGCGGTGAAGTAGTACATAGTCTCTGCTCCCTCCCTGCGGACAAAGATTAACAACAGCAGAACTTAGCAAATCACTTATTTATGAGGGATCATTTAAAGATAGTTAAGTATTATCATTATCATCATGGAACAATTATTCTCACAGAATGAATTTAACAAGCAAAAGACTCGACAGCAGATACAAGTACAACTGTGAAACACTTCAGATCAAAAGGCCTTCCTCACTGCTGAAGTATACTGGTCCAACCTTATGTGTTCTTGAGATATCGTGTATACATTAGTGGCAAATACACAGACAGCCCTTTAACATAATGCCTCCGGCCACTGGCTGCAATAACGACTGCAGAACGCTTCAAATCAAAAGTCATCAGTCATTGCTCAAGTAAACATGGCAGTCACAATGATAATTAAACACCACCTACATGCTGCAGGGTTGGGTATTATTCTACTTTAATCATAGTAATCATCCATTATTCGAAATAAAAGTAGGTCAGTTAAGTGCAGGTATACACCTAAACCCTGATATTATATATTTAACCCAGTTTTGGTCCATTTTATTTCATATATTTCATGCGTGTGGCCATCGTCTGGGCTTTCATCGACTCACGACTGAGCTCACAACCTCAGCTTTACATTTTTCTGACGGAGATCTGAATTTCAACTCTTTTGTTTCTTTGGCTTTCAGTGACAATGTATTATGTAATTTGCTCTATTTTTATCAAGCGATCAAGCTGAATAAACAATTCGTAATCACTACTCTTGCTTTTGTGTGTGTCACATAATGAAAAGTACTACGAGTATTTATAGTACCACGTGTGATACATAATTAACCTGCAACCAGTCGAAACTTTCGCTTTGAGATTGAAAGATATTTTATTTTATTTATGTTGCTAACATAGTTTTTGTTCTTAACACATTTAGAATCAGTTTCAATCCAGAGTTGGTTTTTGATTGCAAACAATTTACGGTGCAAACTAGAACAATTGACTCACCTGCCTGGTTAGCTGGTGTTTTATTCTCTGCACACGTCACAGGTTTAAACATTGCTTACCGTAGAGCGATGGTACTTACGGTAAAGGATTTCTCCTCCAGACCTCTCTGGCTTTGAGTGTTTGGTACACTGTCTTCTGTTTGCCCTCTGCTCCGTTCTCTCCACCTCGACTGCTCTGCATCACTCTGGAGAACTCCATCTTCTCATCCCACGTCCCTGACAGCACGTAGTGAGCCTTTCCGTCTTTGTCCATCACTACACCTGTCACCTGCAGATGGGAGACAGAGGGGGTTAACAGAGTAACACATGATGACCCAAGAAGCATTTAAAGTATAAAATGCAACTATGATTGGGCTAAAACTAACAGTGCAGATCTTTACTGTCTCAAAGTAGAGGTACGATGCATGTAGCACAGAAAACAACATCAGACTCATTTGATCATATCATTAAATCATGAGGGTACAAACCCAGAAGAGCAAGAATCATGTCAGTACACTAGCTTCAAAAGAACCAAACTACAAAATGCTACATGTAAGTGCAACATATAAGTGCAACTAACTTTTTTCTTTATTTTTTTTTCTCTCAACATCAGAGTTGACGATGGTTATTAGACCATCATCTTCTTAGCCAAGGTGTAGTCAGAGATGTGTTTTTGTCCCGCTGCAAGATGTGTAGACTTTCTGCTGTCCTGATGTCAATGGGGAGCTCGTTCCACCATTTGGGAGCCAGGACAGCAAACAGTCGTGATTTTTTTTTGAGTGGCTAGCTCGCAGCGAGGGAGCAGCAAACCGGTGAAGGGCAGAGTGGCCAGGCTGGGATGTAACGTTTAACCATGTCCTGGATGTAGACGAGGGCCGATCCGTTCGCAGCACGGTACACAAGCACTAGTGTCTTGAAGCGGATACGGGCAGCCACTGGTAACCAGTGAAGGGAGCGGAGGAGCGGTGTAGTGTGAGAGAACTTGCTGCATTCTGGATGAGCTGCAGAGGTCGGATGGCACTAGCAGGCCCACCAGCAAGGAGGGAGTTGCAGTAGTCTAGGCGGGAGATGACAAGAGCCTAGACCAGTAGCCATGCAGCGTTCTGAGTGAGAAGGGGACGTATTCTCTATGCTTTGATTAAAGCAGAAAAACAGTTTCTGCTGTGTTACAATTAAAAGTTAAAACTCTAACCAAGTCAAAGGTTTCTACATTTTACTAACCTTCCTGGCCACATCTCTGGAGAAGTAGCTGTAAGGAGCGAACTTCAGGTGGCAGCGGTCTCCAGTGGTGTGATTCACAACGTCTATCTCTCCAGACTAGAAGGGAAACAGAAAGTATGTTTGAGAGATATCAATATAAGGGAACAATTTCATTTTCAAACGGATAACAATTCAAAACTTCAGTTCAGGGTTTCGGCATTTGTTGTTAATATAATTTGAGACATTTACAGGTCAGTGCAGATAAGATAGTCAGAAATTTTAGGTCTGGGTGTTTGATGTATGGACTCTACGCTCTACTCTACCAAGTAGAACAGCAATGTGTCATCAGATTCACCTCACACACAAGCCGGTATGTAAAATCTCTTATGGCACACTCCACTAACTAAAGCAGCTGTTTCAAACACGCAGAGTTTACACGGTAGTATATGAAATGTAATGTAAATGCATTCATCGCATATTTCTGTTAACAGCACTTGCTATGTATATGTGGCACTGTACAGCACTGACAGAACACAGTTTGCACATTACATCATATATACATACATAGACTTGTTAGTTTATAATAGACAGAAATACAGATAGTGACGGCAAATCAGCGTCCCTTTGGTAAGTAATTTAAAAAGGCAGGCTATCTGTATAAGTATCAGAGATTTTGTCTGTGGAGTCAAGCTGAGATCTTTGTTACTTGTCATTTCTCATCTCCCTTCTGTTGTTGACTTCTTGGAAATGCACCAACAACAACAAGGTTGTTCTCATCAACTTAGGGCAGGGCTCTTTATTCACAGATGTTTTTTTAATTTTTTTTTNTTTAACAGTGCGATTTTGCAACTCTTTTACTCTCACCTGATCGATCCACAGTTTTCCGACAATGATGTTGTGCACTGTGGTGGTCACTTTCTTCCATGTATAGTGATGGTTGCCTTTTTCGAAGACCGCATGAATTGTGCCTGCACAGAAAGAGGAAACGCAGATGGAAAATCAATCAACGACTTGTTATTCTCGGGCTTCTGACTGACAACCTTCAGTTAAGGTGAGGTGTGACTGATGAATTCCTCAGACTTTGCTCACTGGTGGATGAATGCTCTAATCATTGCTTTGTTTGTAGCTTTTGTTTTGTCCACAAAGACGTAACTGCCATGTTCACAGCACACCCTCTATCAACGTCATCTTCAAACCACAAGACATGTTTTAAATGCTTTGAACCAAAGTGAGTCGTACCTAAAGGCATGATGGACAGATATTTTCCCCTGAACTTGCTGGCAACAGTGATTTCCTGTCTCAGTGTCCAACCACGATCAGAAATCACATGATGTGCTGCTGCAGGAGGGTGGTGACTCACCTGAGAAAGAGGAACATATACATTAGTGGTAAACGAACACACTAACCAAACTGTTAAGTATGCAGAAACACTTATTTAAGCAGTGCAAGTGAAAATCCATTTACACTTCTCATGTCAGAATCAGAGAGCGAAGCAACATTACTTTTAAACTAGTTATGTTAGTTTCCAAAATCGAACCATTTGTCTTCTGCGCAAGCATAAATAAAATTAGCAAATGTGTGTGAACACAAGAGCAATTGGAATTGAAAACTTAAAAATCGAATGTGAATTTTTATTTATTGGATAAATTCTGCTTCAAACGTGTTGTGAACTTAAGGTGATCTGGTTGCCGCTCGTTCCAAGAAAGAGAGAGACAAATGCAGAGAGAGAGAGAGGAAAAGAGAGCCGACTCCAGAAAAAACCACGCTTCAATTGATGTTTTCAAATCTGAGACATATTCTACTGATAAAGACTGTTGTTCCAACTGTGCTCATATGATATCAAAATGATCATAATCAGATCATTTTCAGTTTCTTTTTTAGAACCAGAATCAGAGATGCATGAGACGTGCCTGAAACATGCAAAACATGTAATAGCAAAAGTAATAATAGCTAAACAAACCACTATAATTTTTTTTATAGAATTTGAATTAAAACTACATATGGAATAAATTAGAATGTTAAGGAAGACTGACAGGCCTGACCTCAATTCTGTTTAAACTGTCCTTCTATTCCTGACTGATCAGTCAACTCTCATGGTTGCCAGTTCCCTGTAATGTGTCAAAATGCTGAGTCAGGGTGAATTTTCATGTCATCCTTCCTCCATTCTTTTTTCAGTCTCGCTTCCTTGTTAGACCCTATGACAACTCCCTCAATGTTTCTCGGAAATAGATTTTTCTTTGTGCAATTAAAAATGATCTACACTGTTACATGACACTAGAAGTGTGGGAAAATGCAGAGGACACATCACACCTGCTCACAGAGCGAGCGGTAGCCACTCTCTCGCCGGCGGTCCAGCTCATACGTCTCTCCCAGCAGGGGGTTGAAGGGCTTGCCCGTGCGGTAGACGGTGGTTGAGTACGAGGACACGGAGAAGGCTGCCACGTAGCACATCTGCTCCAGGGAGCTTTGGCACTTGGCGGCCTTGTCGAGCAGCTCGTGGTACTCGAGGTCCTCCGACAACCGCTGCAGCATTGAGATGGGCTCGTTGAAGTTTACCTACAGAGAGCACAACAGGTGCAAATTAATGTACACGATATGAACTTGTGTACTGTTTTTGGTTGTTTGTTGTACAATGTACTGTTCTGCAGCTGCTGTCGCACTTTGGCCCAAGAAAACTTTCTCCATGGGGACAATACAATACATTTGATTTGATTTGTTTAGACATTGTTATCCTGATGACAAACAGATGTTAGACCCACAGAACATGGACTGCTGAGGTCTCTTTATGCCTAATGATGTTAAAAAACTAGACGTCAAAATGTTCTCACAAGCAAAAAAGAGCCTCATCATTGATTCACTGAAATTAGCTTAACCAATACTGCCCTCTGCTGGTTACTTAGTGGAACATATGCTCAGATATAGTCTCTTGCAGGAAATAAAAGAGTCTTTATCAGCTTAAAAATATTTTTAAAATGTATTCAAATATCCTCCACATCTCTCCACGGCTGGATTGCAACAGTCTTTATACTTGATTTTTAATTTTCTTGGAACCGTCTATTTTTTCCTTGTATTGTCCTACACTGAATTGTTTTTCAAAAGCAAACTGTTAATAATTATCTATTTTAAATCAGATGATTTTATGACTGGGGTGTGTTAATAACAACGATGATAATAATAATTATAATAATAATAATAACTCCCCTTATATGACCTACAAAATTCAAGGGAGCTCTGGAACATGATAATAATATACATATGAAAAGTTAATACTATTGTTATAAATAGAATAAAATAAAACAAAGTGAGGTTAAACTATAATAGATTTTTACAGCATAAAACTCAACTACAGTAGTATGAAATATAATTTCATATTATTCAGCAGCTATGACAAGAGAGGAGGAGGAGGCAGTTGGTGGAATGAAGGTGCATGCAAGATGAGATTTTACGGGAAATGAACAAATCAAAACAAAGATCGTAGATCAACAGTCTATCTCCAGAGGGTTTCTCAATAAACCCAAAAATAACTTGATGACTGATCCCACAACAGATGACACGATAGAGGTACTATAATTGTAGATGGCTCCAAAAGAATGTGAGAGAACTAGTATTGCAGTGACAAAGATGAACACTCATTCGAATAACATGACAGTTGCACGCTGGAGCTGCATGTTCTGTTATGACCTTAACCCCATGTCTACCTTGTTAACCTGGAGGCGTCTTTGTTGCAAGTACACAAACAAAGACATGAAAAGAACAGCCAGAGGAGGAGGTGAACGTCCCTGGGACCTTTTCATTGACAGATCAGCAAACAAACTTCCTGAGTGTCAGACTGCGTGTTGTGTAACAGCCAGAGAATTACTCACAGGCATCGGGATCTTAGACAACTCTTTGCCGATGCAGTTCTTCATGATGCTCCACAGGTTGAGGGAGTAGTTGGGTTTGTCCGGGATGCGTGTTCGCCTCTTCTTTAAGGGCACTAGCTCCTGAGAAGGGGATTCCTGGTTTATGGCCAGAGGTTCCTCATTGAGCTGAAGGGCAGAAAGTTTTGTCAGTATGGAACCTACTGAAAATGATGAAGCTTTAAAGAATGTTTCACTGGTTTTCCAATGAGTCATTGTTGAAATGATGGTAGTAAAATCACACCTTCAGTATTAAGAAATCTACCATCTGGTTGCAGTAAAACACTGTGATGATGGTTGACAACATTTTCATACACTTTACTGGTGAGTTGAGACATACCGACTGATCATCAGGACACATTTCACTGTTGAACCCGCTGATATTACTGCTTGACCTTCTGTGAGAGATTAGAAAAGAAAGATTGTGTCATTGGTGTATGGAAGATTTCTGTTTAAACCAACAACCAAAGTAAGATACTAGGATATTAGATCAGTGTACCAGTCATAAATTACGGCACACAGGTGTGTAAAGAAATAAACCCATATAATTTAATGACTCTACATGACAAGGAAGCAGGTCACATAAATAAACCGATGAAGCCTCTGGGAATTCACACTTTGTTTGAATGCTTCTTGCTCTATAATCACATGTACAATGAATGGCAAGTTACTGACTTGTGGAACTGGGGATCAGCAGGTACAGTAATAAACTCCGGAGCCTCCTCCATAGCATCAAAGAATTCATTGTCATCGTCCTCGTCACTGGCCTCACCTTTTCCCGGCCCGGCAGCACCTTCACAGAAAAAGCTTTTGTTTACCAGATTCCATTAAAATGTTCCATGTCAAGGGTTTAATTTACAGTCAACAGTGGACAGCATTAGGGCTCACAAGTTTTTCCCACACTCTGGAGACGATCAAGAGGATAAAAATTCAGTCAAATTAAAGATGTCTGCTACATGTAGCTATCTTTAATTTGATGCTTTGATGATTTAATGGATATGTGTTCACAAAAATAATCTGAGTAATAATGATTTGGGAACTGTAATTTTGGAAATGGTCGGGGTCAAGACGAGAGTCGCGCCCACCTTTATTATCTGCTGTGGCGTTTGCCTGCGACGCCCCTCTGAACGCTCGCTCCAGGTGATTGTGCTGCTTGGCCAGTTGCTCTAAAGTCTCCTCCAGCCTCACTCTCTGCTCCCGCTCTGCCTGCAGGGCCTTCTGCCACCTCTTACTGTGCGCCTGAGCCAGAGCCACAAAGTCTCGGCACGCCTGAGAAGCAAAACATTCACACAGGGTCACTTAGAACCACTGAAGCCCAAAATTAAGTTATTGAGAACAGTTGGTTTGGCCGGCTAGGAGGACAGGATGCAGTGGGTTTGGATTCTTTGAGCTCAGACAAGATCAGTCCAGAGGAAAACAAATCACATTTCTAAACGTCAGCAGGCTCAGTCTCCCTGGTTACATAATCAAACACCAAAACATAAATGTACTGAGAGAAGACGTGACACTTGCATTTATCATGGCATTAGAGGTGATGCGGAACAGCGTGGCCCTTTCTGTGACCTGACGAATCTTATCACCAGCCTCTCCAGTCAGACGCAAACTGTCCAGCTCTGTGAGAGACCTGAAATAATAAAACACACAATGCATCATTGAGTTACAGTGTTATAAACCAGGGGCATGACATTTACAAGCTTTATTTTTATAACTCAAACGGCGTGTCTGTCTATCTGTTTATCTGCATACTTTATTTGCAAGTTGGCAACACCACACCTACATTAATAATCTATCTTTGACACCGCGTCATTGTGTTTTTACAAATGTCATGAAGTGCGTATAGTGTACAAGCATGTGTTGGAATTGTTATTTTTAGAAAGAAGACATGTGAACTGTGGACTGAGAGCACAAAGAAAAACAGAGCGACAGAGCCTGACCTCTGGAGGGCGGAGCCATGCTTTGAGATCAGGTCATTGCACGTGCTGAGGTCCTCCACCTTGCTGCCGAGTGTTCTGAGAGCAGACTGGACCTCTGAATTCTGAGAGCCCCCACCTTGTCCAGGTGCCACTGGAGCAGATGAGTGTGAGAAGTCATCCCCGGAGTCATCTGTTGACGAGTGGAAGACTTTAAAAAAATCTGCTATCATAATCTCAATCTGAGTTTTTTTTTAAATCCACAGATCAAAAACACTTGCTGTCTTGTGACAGGGAGTCCTCCAATCCTTGCTATATCAAAATTTAATAACCTTTTTAATAGCTCAGGAAAAAATTACTTAATAAGTAGTAATTACACAGCTTTTACTTTGGGTGGCTCACACACAAATTACTACTACTAAATTATTTTTTTAATAAGTACTTCGCATTACAGCAATATGCAGAAGTCAGGGGGCACCTCACAACTACATGTACCCTCACCATTGTCACTTCACCCTGCACACTGATTGCCTGTGGTTGTCATCAACTTATCTACAAATTCAGCCTGCTTGAGATCTATTTGGGGTGAGCAACGTGTCAGCAACCCCTTAAATTGCATCTTTTAAGAGTTTACACATTGACTGCTAATTAAACGCTGAATGGGTCCGATCAGGTTAAAAATCAGGACTTGGCCTTACCTGACTCCGCCTGCATGCGAGCTGCCTTTGCTTTGGCCAACTCGAGGGCGGTGATCCAGCGTTGACGCTCCACCTCACAGCTGGCCTTCAGGTGATACGTCTGCGCCCCGCCGTTGGAGATGACAAAGTTGCAGGCATCGTCCACAGTGATGGTTGCTGTGGCCAAGTTGATCGTGCCCCGACACGTGTGGCCCATCTCTGCCTGGGTCCTGATAACCAGAGAAATTTGAGTTTTTGGTAAAAATGTAAAGATGGAGAAAAGCAAAATTGTCTATAACAGAATTGCCAGTATTACAGACTGTAAAACCCAGTGCTATTAAATATTCTAGAGAGATTAAAATTTGACAGACATTGTAATAGAAATAACGCATGATAAAGTGAGGCTAATATGACAGTTTGTTGGGTGTACATATAAACTAGTTATTGAGGATGCATCAAAGCTATTTCTCAAGTGACATCATCAAGACTGCATGTTTTGTGTTATCTGTGTTTTGAGGAAAACCAACCTGTAGTATGACAACAGCCCATTGCTCAGGACAAACCACCTCCGCTGATAGCCCTTGATGTAATTTGTCCACTTGAACACCCATCCTTTGTATGTGTCGCCAGCTGGGGTTGGGGTGGGGGTCTTAGGCTCTGACATCACTGCCCCCAAAATCAGATTACAGATTTGAGGAACCTTAAAACAAATGGAAAAATAAAGTTAAAACACACATGACAAGATTTGTGCTATTACACAGAGCTAAATTGATTCATAATTAAAAAAAGATTGACTCAGAATATAAATAACAATCATTTAGATGATCTGTTTGTTGTTAATGTAATTTCTGAAGCAAATGAGTCACATTAGCCGATCCCGAGACTTGTCAAAGTTAAAAATATACTGGTTTTCTTTGTCTCATTATCCGTGCCTTTTAGACTCCAAGCAAAATCACTTGAAAATATCAACTTGGGGTTTGTGATGTTGCAGCCGGTTCTCTGACATTTTTACAACCAAAACAATCCAGCAAAGATAATGAGCAGATCCACTGACAATGAAAACTATTTGCAAGTCACTTACCTGTTCTCACACTGAACCAGCTGAACATTTAATGCAACATTACTACAAACCATCACCGGTGGTGGATATTGATCTTTCAGTGTGGCATGAGGAGGGGTCAAAGGTTAACTACAGGATCGATACAGATTCACTATTAACACTTCTACTGTCTAAATGAAGGAGAGATTACATTGTGATGAGTCATTGTTGTCTTCTTGATGACATTTCGAACTAAGTGTTAATAACTTTGACAAAGATGTTGACATTTCTTCACACGCGTCAGAAAAAAAGATGTTTTAGGGCAACGACAACACTTTTCTACACGACACAAACAGCAACACACATTCAAAAGGTAAAGTTCATTAAAAAAAAAAGCTTGGCACCAGAAGCTAGCTAGCTCCAGTGAGGCTAAGTGGGAGTCACGGTGGCACAGCTACAACATGAGCTAAAGTGATTTTACACCAGCTGACATGTTTGCTCGGAGGTTACCGGCTGACGTGTGCATATTCACAAATTCACAACCCCGGTGCACGGCGAGCTGCACCGCCGCAGCCACCCTGCCTTCGCCGGCTGGCTTTTAAACTCGCTCGGTGTGAGAAGCGTTTACCTTGACGTGTCCGAAACGTGAGATCAGGCAACCAGACACCCGGTGAAGTCACGGCTAACTTGGACACCCATACGCCGCTGTGGCTAGCCGGGGATGCTAACTAACTAGCTAGCTAGCAAGGAGGAGAGCGGTTCGGCGTGAGACGGCGGCGGCGGCGGCGAACAGCGGCGCGACGGCGACACAACGCGACACCAAAGAAACGAACCCGTGTCCCTCCGTCAACCGCGTGTGTGTTGTTCATTCTACACCCGCGCACGCCGACATGAACCCAATGCTAGCTAGCTGCACCTCACTAGCCTAACATTAGCTCGCTGCTGGTTACACCCGGTGTAACACGATTCAGTTCCGTGTAGAAACACGACAGGTCACATGAACCGATAAAAAAATTTCTCTTCATATTTTAAAATAATAGTTCATCGCCACATCAAAACAATAAAGTTGTTTATTCAAATCCACAGGCAGAGCTGCTATTTACCTTTTCATTGACTCGCAACATAAAGGGAGAATTCACGGACACGAGCTTTATGTGTGGAGGACGCATCTGTTTATTCAGCTCCATGTATTTCGACATTATTGTTTTATTATTTTGATCGCATATTGCTTTTCGTTCCGCACCACGGTTCTTCACCACCAGCCAGCGAACAGCGCTAACGTTAGCTTCCCAATGCTAAGTCTTCCTATAATGGTTTAAGAGTGTCGACATGCATTTACTGTTGAACTCCTGTTTCTAATTCATTTAATAGAATTATAAACGAACAGAAGTGGAAACAAGCGGTGGATCAGATAAAGAAGCAACAAGACACAGGATTAAAAATAAATAAATAAAAATGCGACTCCGGTGGGACTCGAACCCACAACCTTTGAATCACTGCTTCAGAGCCTAGAAGTCCAATGCGCTATCCATTGCGCCACGGAGCCACCTGTTGCATATGCTGCTCCCAGTGGTATTTATTCGTATGGAGATCATAATGTGCAGATAATGTGTCCGACACTAGATGTCGCCAAAGTTCCACGGTCACAAGAAGATAAAGCGTCTGCAGGGTTTAACTGAGCAGAGCGTCAATGATTTAAAACCATAGACTAAATATAAAGAGGTTAAACACACACATTATGATAAAAGATATGATCCCGGAAAATAAAGTACTTACGGAGGAAGCCATGGAAACCACGTGATTTTTTTTAAGACTTTCTAATTGGTTTAATCGCTACGTTTGCTATTTTAAACAAAATGGTAAAAGATAAATGTTCATGAACAACACTAACGTGTCCAAATAAAATAAAGTTATCCTGATTTCTAGTGCAATTTTGCTTTAATCGACTGTGCAACGGAGAAATGAATGAATAATAAATACTACGTGATATATTAATATATACAGCACTTCTTAAAACAAAGTTACTTCACTTCAGGAGCGCCAGGGGGCGCCCCAACACATGAAGACCTGAATCCCTCTGCAGCAGCCGCGGGTTCGATTCCAAGCGTTGGCTGCCTATCTTCCCCGATTTCACAACGACATGTCAATAAAAGCAAAAAAATGTATTTTTTAACAACAGTGGCTGGTAAGGGACACCTTTCAAGGTTTTTTTTTGTTAAAAATGTATTTTTATCAAAGAAAATTAAAAGCAAGAGGTTATCACGAAAATGTAAAATACACATTTTATTCAAAATAATTACAAAACACTTAAAGTTAGTTGGGTTTTAATTTTTCAACTTGTTTTTTAATTTTTTCTTGTGCTTTAATCCATTTGTTTGTATATTATTAATCACACCAGCTAATATATTCGTTACATCCGGTTTAGCAGACGGACGGAGGATGTGGACGTAACCGGATGATAACGCTCTTGACTCCTGCGTGTCTCTGACACATCCTGCCAGGACCGGAAGTGTCTGGGATTCTGCTCAAGCTCCAAAACAGTCGCTTGTAAAAAAAAAAGAGAGACGGAGCGAGCAGCGTCTGCATCTCTTCACACACACACACACACACTCCATCATCATCATCATCATCATCGTCGCCCTCAGCCGGCTTCCATTCATGCCGAGACCATCGGCACGGGACATGCTCCACCAGGTCAGGCTTCTAAGGCTCCGCGCTCATGCGTAATTACGCACAATCCAACGGGAAATGAGTATTAAACGCGGTGGCTAATAATTCGGATGGCTCTTTTATTCCTCGCGGATTTCTCACAGGTCTGCGCTGTCGACTGCTTGGACACAGGAGAGGATTAAGTTACTGCTGCTGGCGGTGGATTATTTTTATTGGCCTGCTCTTGTCACGCCCGAGTCTTTGGCGATCCATTCCCCAGTGAAGAGAGGTTGCTGAAAAAAGCCAGGTATGCTCGTCCACTCGAGAATAATGACCCCGCTGTTTCCTTGTCTCGTTGCTGGATTAACTACGAGTTAATACACCTTTGTTCGGCCCTTTGTTACTCCTGCCTTTACTGGTAGTTTCCTGCCTTCGAATCCCCATTTCCTTGCATTGTGTGCAGACAACAATGCGATTAAATGGTGTAAAATGCTTTGTGACCATTAAGCAGGTTGTTAAATGTCTGATCCTACAATGGCAGCACATCATCTTTCAACTCAGACCTGAATACCCATGCATGTGTTGCAGTCATGGCTTCCACTTGATCAGTTTTATCCCCACAAGCACAATTTGGACTATTTCCTGCATTCCTGCTCATTACAATGTGCTTGGACAACTGTGAAGCATTAGGTAGATGGCATATAGAGTTACTGGCTCTCTTACTTCAGCAGCTCTGGCTGACCAACCCCCTCAGGGCCTTAGCATGTTTTGGTCTCAGGCGGATCATGCCCTTTTGTCCACTGAAGCCTGACTGTACTTTGCAGGACAGACTCCCGGTATGAAAGCATTCCCCTGCTGTTTGGAAAAACCCAGCTTTTCTCTCTCTCGCAGGCTGGTCTAAAGATGTGTGATGGAATTTACAGACGAAACTAAAGAACAATGGAATGGAAACATAATACATTTGAGAAGTTCTTGTCAAGTATTTAATATATGACAGATAACAACAAGAGATATTAGAATGGCACTTAAAAGAGCATATACCTCCTCTGAGGCCCAACTTTCCCCTTAGATTCAACCCACCTGCCCCAAATCATACTCACTGATGTCAGTCTCCTATATATTAAGATTATTGCGTTATTTCTTAAGAAATTCACACAAATCTTGGAAAAAACCCCTGTCTTGCAATGTAAAAGAGATTTTTTTTTTAGCTCTTCCCTGACCCATTCTGCGTCCTATCACTAAGTTTCATGATGATCTGCAGAGTAGTTTTGGTCTCATACCTGTACTGCTGACAATCTATTTGGTGGAGATATCAAACAAACTAACCACAAGTTCAGTGAAAAAAAAAATGCATTTGCATGTTGGTCCATAAAAAAACTGCAGAAGTAGGTTGACGGTCCGAAATACAGTCCGAGACTCAGTTAGCTCAAAAAGACACAAAATGAAAGCTAGAGAGCAAAACCCTGTAGCTTCTCCTCTAATGTGTGATGTAATCGATTATTTGGACGATAAAACATCAGCGAGTAGGAAAAAACTCCAGACAATCATCTTTGTCACAGTTGCAACGATATGAAACTGAGAATTAAAAAGCAGTAACTCCTCACAGTTCAGATGCTGGAAGGAGAGCGTTGCTGCTCCTTGTTTGTCAAATGCCTGACATTTATTTTCTTTGTCCACAGTTATGTCTTTCCGGCGAGGTGTGGTGAGGCAGAGCAAGTTCCGCCATGTTTTTGCTCAGGCGTGGAAAGCCGAGCACTGCATCGACGACGTCAGAGTGTCCCGTGTGACGTGGGACACCTCCCTCTGCGCGGTCAACCCAAAATTCATTGCCGTTATCATCGAGTCGGGCGGAGGAGGAGCCTTCCTCGTTGTTCCCATCAGCAAGGTCCGAGTGTCTCTGCATCACGTCCAGTATCAGATTAACAGTAGATCAATACTTTTAAAAAGCTTCAGTCGTCCATTCTGCTACCATAAGTGTTTTCTCACTCCACATATAGCTAATGCTTGTGCAGCATTTCTACAGATCCAAACAGGGGACAAAGGTTAAACTATAAAATGTAAAATATTTGTCAAACGAGCTGTCACAGTGTCACAGTCTAACTTTCTGTTCCTCCCACAGAGCGGCAGAATCGACCAGTCCTGTCCGACAGTGTGCGGCCACACAGCCCCGGTGCTGGACATCCAGTGGTCGCCTCATGACGACAATATCATTGCGAGTGCCTCAGAGGACTGCACAGTGAAGGTATCCTCCCAGTCGCAAGGCTTGTGGGTGCACTGGTGGTTTGCGGCACTTAGTTACCGCTGGTGTTTGCTTCCTTACATAACCAAAGACTGTCCGACCGATTTATAAAGAATTCCTTGCATTGGCCCAAAAACGTGGTGAAAAAAAACGACGCTGGCATTCCGCCTCCATGTCTTTGTTTTTATGCTGAAGTCACATTTGATCAGTTATATCTTGTTTGTTTATTTTGTACAAAAGACCAAAATGTAAAAATTAGAGGTTTCATGAGTCATTATGTCGTGGCTGTTACTTCCCCTGGTGTTAGTGATAAGCTAAGATAACCATCTCTTGGCTGTAGCTTCATAATTCTTGCACATTTCAGCTCAGAAAAAAGAAAAATGTCATCGTTCACCCTCAGCAATGAGAAAATGCATTTCTTTAGTCCTTGTTTTGCTGCAGTTAATGTTTTTGGAACACCAATTTTCTTTTCTGTGACCAAGAACAAATTGTGTTAGCCAATTTAAAGGTATTCTACATGAATGCATGTTGTTGTACATAAACAAATGCCTGTTGTGTTGCCTGTAGGTGTGGCAGATCCCAGACGGGGGCCTGACAAGTCCAATGAATGAGGCCATTGTGACCCTGGAGGGCCACAGTAAAAGAGTGGGCATCCTGGCTTGGCACCCAACCGCTTTCAACATCCTCCTCACTGCAGGTAACGCCATTCGTCACTTTCTGGTTCCACATATTGGTTTTAAAATAACTTCTTGGATTTTTTCTTCGTTTTTTTGGCATCATTATGTGTCATTCTTGAGTTGTTTACCAATTTAAATCCCCAGAAATGTAATGTATGTTAATGTCTCTGTAAGTATTTGGTGTTCAGTAACAGCCTGTTCAAACACTGCTGCGTTAAGCGGAGGATGTCTCGCTCAGGAATTCATGCAGTGCAGATTTACAGTCACGCGTGATCGACCGGATTAACCAGAAATATAACTACGCTCTGCTGCAACTGCAATGGATTAGGTTTCATTTGGCAAATGTACAAGACTATCAAGATCATCAAGTTATTAGATACACAATTCATGTTAAACCTGTGTGACATTGT